ATAATGCTTCTAATATTCTTCTATATTCTTCGAAGTTTACATCACTATAGCCTACAGAAACTAGCTTATATTGGGCTTTACTATCTAAATCCATAATAGTGTTTTAGTAGATTATAACAGATTATAATGTTTTTATAATGTTTTAGCGATTTTAGCTGATTTAGCAATATTATACTATAATAAAACCATATTCATTTTTATTCAATTGTTCGGGTGAAAACAGATTCATAATTTTTTTCCGACATGATTCGGTTAAATTAGACCCGATCACCATAGACGGCTAAATTATGTTCCAGAGTTTCTATAAATCACGAGATGATCGGCCAATCATATTTCACCTCCCTTAATCTATTGATAGCTAAGCCACCGTTATTATTTCAAATTAATTTGCCTCGCAATGACGAAAATGTTAGGTCAAGTAGTGCGAGTTCTCCTGAGGTATCATCACTTGCAACATCAAGACCGATGACACCAACCGTTGAAACACTTAATATCTCCAGACCCGTAACCCCAACTATCCCTTCTTTTTCGCAAAATGCGAATGTGATCAATGTTACCATCAATTATGGTGGAAGGTTAGACGAGCAACAGGAATAAGGTTTTTTTCGTTAGTATAGAATAGCGAATAGTTTAGTAAATTTTATATTTTTTATAACTTATAAGTGTGATGGGATAGAATATTAATAAAAAATCATGTGCGCGTTACGTTTCTGAAACGCCGATCACTTTGCTAAGAAAAAGTTGATGCACAGTTAAAGTCAAAGCTAAATCTTTATTTTTGTAAATGAAGAAAGCAAACACAAGCTAACTAATACAAATAAAAAGTAAATTGTTAAGGAACTACAGGAGGCGGGAGTTTCAATACTGAGATAACTTTTTGAGGTGACGAATTTGATAATCTACGGTAGGATTGATTTGTCGGTGTAGATGGAGCATTTAACATCTCAATAGCACGGCCAATTCTTTTCTGAATGAAAGAAACAAATAATCAGGAGTTATACTTGATGTAATCACAAAAGGTCATTTACTCTTACCGATAAGCTGTAGAAATTCGAAATAACTGGGATAATAGTTAAAAAATTGGCTTGTTCAGTTGGCAAGATTGTTTTTCCAATTTGGTTACGACGGTATACACCATTAAAATTGAGATCCATGCTAAATAATTTAACATGAGAACCTGTTGAATTTATATCTGATTAG